GGGGGGGGGGAGACAGCCAGCAGGGCACACGAGGGGGAGAGACAAGAAGCTGTCAAACGCCGAAATCGTTATCGCTGGAGAAGGTGGCGGTGGGTCAAGTTGTTCATGGGGTTCCTGGGTTACCTTCTGACACGCGACTTCAGGCCAAAAGTGTGAGTCGGGCGAACCATTCGTGCATATCGAATCGTACCACCTAGAAGGACTCCGAGGTACCACCCCGAACCACCCCGAACCTTCTTCACAATATTTGAAAAGTGTAAGAACTACCCTGTAACTGAGCCGGAAATCGAGCCATGACACTGCGGGTGCGGAGGTGGTCGATACCCCGCGCGGAGTAGCGCCTCCGTCCACCCGGAGTAGCGCTAGCAGCGGGCCGCGCGCTCTCGCCGCCAGAGCGAGCCCGTGTCCACGCGTCACGGCGTTGGGCCGGCGAGCGCGGAGTACAGCGGCAGCGTGACACTGCGGCAGGGCGACTGTGGAGAGCGCCACTGTCGCCGCCCGCGGCGGTGGAGGGGGAACGTAGCGAGTGTAGCCGCATTGAGCGTAAGTCCTCATCTGTCAGGATGGCCGAGCGGTCTAAGGCGCCAGACTCAAGGGTAAACCTTGCCCGCACAGCGGGACGAGTGTTCTGGTCCTCGAATGAGGGCGTGGGTTCAAATCCCACTTCTGACATATATTTTTACTCGAGTTTTCTGGTACGGCATCTGATGCCTGAATCACTCGAGTGATTTGGTGGCATTTTCTTGCTCTTTCCGCCTTTGCTGTTGGAAAGAAAACACGACGGCTCCATGCAAAAGAATACGTTCTGTGGTACGCGTCTAAACCATACGATTAGGTGTGTGAACGCCATTCGCAAACTTGGAGGCACACGTGTGTGAACTATGTGAAGTGTAAGAATGGGCACAACCTGCAACTGTATGGCATTCACTCACTTTTGTTTCCAGTGTATCCAACCCAGAAATGATAGTCGACGCGAACTTCCCCATTTCCCATTTCAGGAAAACTCCTCATACGTCGCCTCACATTTTAAGGAGTCTTTTTAGAAAATGAGGAATAATTTCACATTTTTTAGTAGTTTTCCCAAAAATCTGAGGAGTTATCCTAGTTCCCGGATAATTTTTCTAGAAATTTGAAGAGTTTGTATAGAAATCTGAGGAGTTTTTCCTGAAGGCAAAGGGAGTTACTCGAAGTTTTTCATTTCCTCCAAGATATCAGACATTTTTTTTACTGAGTAGAGAGGGGGATTGTCTGCTTCGGAACACCCAATAATTTCGCACGAATTGGAGCCCCTCGTAGAGATTCGATCGTCTATGCCCGTCCGTATCATAACTTAGACGTCTAAATTTATATGCGGTTTTGCGGTCGCGTCAGAGATAAGAAACTGTTCCGGCCTGGGCCCTGTTTCTGAGCTTCACAAAACATACCAAAAAATCGATGTTTTCGAGTTGGCTAATAAAATTGATAGATGATACAAACTGTATGCGCACTGCGCAGACTCTACACGGCAACTGGACTTCGCTGGAGCCGAGATGTGCCGCCGTCTCTTTGCCACGCAGCACTTTCGAGACGGCATAGTGGCAAGTGCGGAAAGTTTGACGTTGTCTTCACCGAGCTCTTTGGCACAGACTGTTGCACGCTGTTGCCTAGAAGCTGGCTGTTTATCGGACGGAAGGCAGCCTGTAAGCCAGTAGGTCTCATAGCGCCTGTTAGGTAGGGAACATATTGCCTGCAGTGCGTGCGTGTGCTGCGGGCTGGCCTACCCCGAGTCTCGCAGGCGCCGAGCTCCCGTGATTTGCTGGGTGAATCTGAGAATAAACGTGTCGTTTGTACAAATTGAAGAAGGGTATCTTCACGTGAAAAAACAACATCAAGTAAGCTGTGGTAGCTAATTAGTTTGCTGGCAGAGGACAGCAAATGCCTGACCTGTAGCCAAGTTGTCACTAGAAAAATTAATGTGATACGTGTCACAATAATTAGTGCAACCAGTTTTCGTCACACCATGTCATGTATTTGACCTGAGTTACAGTCACACCAATTGACGCAAAGTATCTGCTCCGTTTATACAGCCACTAAATCTGGATCTATAAAACTTTTATCACAAAAGTTTGCGATAGCTCAGTATTGTGATACAACGGATTTTTATCGCTTTTCTGGACATGATAACTTTTTATCGCGAAGAAACGCATGCAATGAAAAGTATAAGGGAAAATATGTTCACAAAAATAATGTGATAACTTTTTATCGCCAAGTTTTATGTGGAGTTCTCTTCATTTATCACATAAACTTTTTGTATGTTTTTTGCAATTCCTTAACATGATGAAAGTTTTGATATGGGTTTCTCACTGGGCTACCTTCTGCTCGCTGCTGGACTGAACGAGATCGCTGCATGGTAATGTGATGAGAAAATGAACACCTCGAAAGTATAAATATGTAGTCCCGTTATTATTTATTATTGTCATGTCACAATTGGGTCGATCTTTGTTGCATTGCGTTCCACGAAATTATTGTGGGCAACTCTGGTATTACAGGTATTTCAAAGTCGGTGGATGCAGAGTACATTGACTGCATGCAGCGAAAGTAAGTGTACAACATAATTAGGTGCCAGGGAGTAGTACCGACTAATTTCCTTTTCTTTGAACGGCTTAGTCGTATGAATATTCGTTTAGACGCGCTCCATTGAGTGGGTCCGCTCCCTTGGCTCCGTACTGAAAGGCTGGCGCCGAGGTGTAGGCAGCGGGGGTCACGGCCTGCACCTCCGACTCCTTGCACATCTTGACGTGCAGGCTGTTGGCGCAGATGAGGCAGTACAGGGGCAGGGCTGGGGGGAAGAGCAAACAGAGCTTTATTACAAATCACCAAATCAAAAACAATGGGGTAGAAAACTGCACACGGTGAAAATAGTTTCTTGCATTACGAGACCTATAGTCTTGGATGCCACTGGCGTTCTCCATTGGATCCAAGATACGGACTTGTAATTACGAGAGACTTCTTTTACAATGCACAAAAATGCACCGGGAACCATAGTGTGTGTGAATGTTGTACACCTCCTAGTTGTGTTAACGCAATTCGTACACGTAGAGGCGCAAGTGTGTGAATTTTAAGTGTTAATCCACACCTTTAATCCCTCAAGCTTACGGTGCGGATGGGCATTCACGCACCTATAAGAAGTGTACGACATTCACACATTTCGTTCCATTCGCCCAGTATACAGAAAAGGAATATTTGAGAAAGAAAATTACCGGCAGTGATGGTGGTCAATAAAAATACGATGAAACCGAGGAAGCCACCGACTTGCACAGCCCAGATGACGGCCATCACGAGGACAAAGCTGATGTGGTAGAGGCCGATGCGGATGTGCCACACCATCCAGGAGGGCTTGTTCTGCATGCAAGAAATAGTCGCATCAAAGGCAAAAGAATAAGAGAGATTTGATAAAGTGTCTAGCTTTTATTGCCTTACGTCACTGATGCCCTTGAGGAACAAGGCAGCGGCCACGATGATCAGGATTAGGCAGAAGATTTCAATGAGGGTGATGACGGTAAACCCACCATCATACTCGTCGAGTTCTCCGGAAATCGTTTCATTTATTTTCAAACAGCTGACCTACAACCGAGAAATAAATGATTGTATCAATGAATGAGGTAAATGGCGGGTAAATGCCTTGATGAACGAGATAACGGCAATTGATTTACCTCATTAGCATCGCAGATATCCTTCAACTTTTCTGCTGAACCCGCATACACCAGAACTTTCAGGACGTTGAGCACGCCGCCAACCTGAAAGAGCAAAGAGGCAGATTTTTTTGATTTGTTTTACCGGTTTGCGCAGCTTTTCCTGACAACAATAACTTTTACTGCAGTAGTGCACGATTCACTCCCATATGAGGCAACTTTCAGACTACTTCTACTTTAATCCCAAAACATAGAGGAATTGAGTGCCGAAGAAAAAACGTTTAAAGAACAAAAACAAAATTTTGAGTTGTCTTTTTTTAATTTTTACACAAAATTTCAAAAGAGAGGAGGGTGGGGTACACTGGAAACGCAAGTGTGTGGATGTCGCTCACTTGTTGGAGTGTGAATAACCATTCGTACACTTAGAGGGGTGTACGAATGGTTATTCACACTCCTACAACCCGTGAAACCGTTGTCATATGTGGCACATGTGAGTCCCAGGTATGTTTCATACATGTACACCATACGAAACATATGATACTTGTATGTCGCTTGCACTTGCCATACGTTTTGGTAACATACATGTGTCAGACGTTCATATGTTACATATATAGTTCTTGGTGACATGTATGGCTGACTTTTACATACATGCGTCGCCGATGGATTTCCGGCATATGGCATAGGGCTCATGTAGGGAACACCCGTTTCGTAGTTATGTACATATATGCATCATGAGTCAACACACCAATCCCATGTATGGTAGAAATGTCGTAACAAGTGGCAGATGTGTGAGAATGAACACTTAGCGAAATAAGTTGGCGAATTATATGTGATTCAACCGTGAAAACGTTAGCATGTGTAGGGCATATCTGTTTCTTAGTGATGACGGTAGAACAGGCAAAAACATACTTTGTAATTTGATACCATGTGTGTCTCACACATGTACCATATATAGTGTACGTATGTAGCTTAAGACCGTACATCTGCGCAAACCGAACAGGCGCGGCACAGTGGTCTAGTGGTCAGCACACTGGGTTCGCAATCCAAAGGGCGTGGGTTCGAATCTCCACAACATCGTCGGTTTCAAAGTAAGTTTAGAGTTAAAACTGTTTCCAAGTGTTAATGTATATGTTCTAAAACTTGATAAATACCACATTGTCCCATAAAAAAATCAATTTTTGGCGGCAAAGGGGGTGAGGGGTGAAAAACTACCCCAATTTACAATTTGGATGGACACATGGATAACATACATGGAACTCGCACGGCACATGTATTACACATACATGTTACTCGTATGGGACATACAAGACCAAAACGTATGGTGACATACATGTCTGCCACACATGGTACATACACTTGGAAAGTTTCACGGGAAGTGTGCGACATTCACACACTTGCGTTTCCAGTGCAAGCTCAAAGCCCCCGCAAGGGAGGAGTTGAAGAGAGGGGGGGGGGGGGGGCAACTCACCAGCGACACCCAGCCCTGAATCTTGCAACAGGTAAGCAGGGTGCAGCAGCAGCCCTGGTCCACGACGGGCAGCAGGGAGGCCAGCTTCCTAGGCAGGGCCGACGGACTGGACATCGGTAGCGGCTCGCCCGCCGAGCCCGCTTCAAGGACTGCCTCATTCCTGAATCATGACCAACATTTTTTTCCCCTGTATTTTCCTTGTTTTTTCTTGATCTTTGTTTTGTGTTCCTTCGCGCCCCGCACTCGCCCCGCCCCGCACCGCGTGCGCTTGCTGGACACATTGGATCAATCTCTCGCGCCCGTTGTGTACCCCCCCCCCCCCTACCTGCAGCGGCAGCGGACTACGCAGCCCCAGGACCCAGGGGGTGGATCGAGGATCGAGGCGGCTGCCCGGGATTACTAAACCAGACATTTCCATAATGGTGATAATGGTGACATTTTGACGATTCCCTCGACCGACGCAAAATCGACGTCGAGCGTCACCCAAAGCGACAAATCTTGAATTTCGATTCCACACGATAAGTTGACATGATTCGATTCTTTTTTCTGTACGGGGAATCCGCCAGTGGGGCCTAACTGCAAATCGAATCACGTCAACTCGACATCGAAATCCCAAACTGTCAATTTAGGCGGCAAAACCCCCATCGAATCGACGTCGGCAGTGCAATAAGTTGTTGCTTTAGTTCAATGCAGTGCATTAACACAATTGCAGCTTGCATTGGTGGTTCGACGGAGTATTATTGATTCAATAAAGGTACTTTTCAGACACGCCTGCACGCGCGCGCTCGACAACATCGCTACACTGGGAACCCAAATGTGTGAATGTCACCCACTTGTAGGTGTGTGAAAGCCATTCGTACTCGTGGAGGCGCGCAACGCGCAAGTGAGTGAATTTCAAAGGGATGTTCACACCTTTACTCCCGTGAATGGCCATTCACACAACTACTACGAGGGTGCGACATCCACTCACTTGCGTTACCGAATGCTCCCGCACCACACCCTGTGCCTCGGCGAGCTCACCGGTTCATAGTTTTCCTGGCGGGGGTGTTGCTTTCGGCTGTGGTGTGGCGCCTCCCTCGCGGGTGATGGGCTGGCGGTGGCGGAGCTGGCTCGCGCTGCTTCCAGGAGGGCGCGTTCCTGACTGCCGCCGCGCCGCCCACCGGATCAGGGGCCGAGGGAGCCGCGCCTGCGCCCTACGCCTCCCTCAAGGCCGAAACACAACAGTAACAGTGGGCCAGGGGAGGGGGCGGGATGATCTGGCGGCGCTGACAAGTAGTGCTGGGGTGTATCAAGTGGTGACCTACAACGTAGTGGAGGTCACTGATTGGCCAATTCGCCCCGTGTGTCACTTGTTCTGGGTGAATTGACCAATCCGGAACCTCGGTTAGGTTGCATGCAGGTTGTAGGGCACTGGATATACGCCCCTGACTGGATAGAAGGAGCGACGCGCGTAGCGCCGGCCGCCACCCGCCTTCGCTGGACTGGAACGAGGGCGCCTGTCGACGGCAGGGTAGGCCACCAGGCCGGCAGCTGAGCGCGGCGGGCCGGGCTACCTCGAAGGGGTTTCAGAGTGCGTGGTGCGTTCAGTTTAGAACCTTGGGCCAAAAGAGGCCTCGTGGTTAGTCAAGTCAACTTCAACCTCCCTGACTTGACTTGCACCCACAGCATTAAGGCTTTCCCAGTACCCTCCCCCCTCCCGAACACACAAGAAAACGTTAACGCAAACGTGAAGCAGATGACTTCCACGTTTACCGTTGAGCTCTAACTCCGAACTATCGAGGACCCGAAGACTTAAAACCAACAGCTCAAGTCATTACGCGGCTTTGAACGCCGGCTTTGAACGCGCCGAAAATTGAGTTGTGACATCGCAGGTGTTGAGGTGGTCGATACCCCGCGCAGAGCAGCGGCTTTGTCCGCCTGGAGTAGCGCCCGCGGGCCGCGCGCTCTCGCCACCAGAGCGCGCCGGTGTCGCGGCGTGGGGCTGTGCGCCAAGCGACTGCGGAGCGCGCCAACTTCAAATTGAACATGGGACGACTGCTGGCTCATGGCAAACTGGAGCTGCTCGCTCAGGTCACCCAGCACCCAGCACACTCCCTTTGGCTCTGTTCAGCTTCGGTAGTGCGCTGGTCACAAAACACGTAGCGCCCTGGCCGCTTCATGACAAGTGCAAGCACTCTGACGGATTTTTCGTGTCATTTCTTGGTAATTTAAGATGGGTAAAATGTTCCAAATAATGTATTATCAGCTAAAACTATATATTTCGATTTAAAAATGTCGTATTTTACATACTGTACAATCACAAAAATCTTCACATGCAGGTTGTTGTACTAATGTTAATAATGTGTATGATCTAATTATGAAATGATCACAGCACCGCGTTCTTTTTTAATTCAAAAATTCATGGTAAAAAGTCGTACAAAGTACGGCCGCAGTGCACACAAACGCTAGCTTGCGTCGAATTACCTTTCCCCCTCCCCTCTGTCTAAAAACAAAACATTTAAAACAAGAGCCGCGGCGTCATATATCGTTCAGGCCAACTTGTAGAGCACGAGCACGGAGCGCTGCTGCGCGGGGCCGAGCTTGGGCAGCACGGACTTGCCCTCGTACTCGAAGTCGGCGTGCTCGGCCACGGCCAGCTCCCGGAAGCCGAGCCGCCGGCCGATGGCGCGGCTGTAGTCCGAGGTGAAGATGGCGCTCACGCCGCACACGCCGGCCTCCCGGGCGACCTCGATCGACTCGGCCGAGATGCGCAGGCCGACGCCGCGCCGGCCCGCCTCGGGGAGCACGCCCAGGAACATGAGCTCGAGCAGGCGGTCGCCGCCCGCCTCCGCGAACAGGTCCGCCATGGCGTCGATCCGCATCATGAAGTGCATCAGCCAGTTGGCCGACGGGTCGGTGGCGCGCTCCGCGGCGAAGCGCTCGAAGAAGGACTGCTCCCCGGGCGGCGGCCGCACCTGTCGGACCAACAAGGAGTAAGAACATAAAGCTACGAAAACGCGGGATTATTGCATAAATGATTTCCGCATTCTCTTTGTGTTCCCCGCATTCTAAATTTGATTTCAGCTTTTCCGAAATGACTGGGGCGGCTCCGGGGCTCGGCTCGGGGCGGGTGGAATAGTACCAGAGGACCCTAGTTGGGCGGGTGGTTGCCGTCGCCGGTCGGGTGGAGAGAAGGGCTCCGAGAGACCAATACCATTGGAAAGTCATTGGAAAGCACCCAATAACGGGCACAGATGGGCGGGCGCGGGCAGGGGCGTGTGACATGTGGCACCTACACTTACAGTACACCTAAGTATACTTATTGAATTGATGCAGGCCAGCGGTGACCACTCCCCTGCCGTCTCTAGTATGCCGCCTAAAAAACATGCATCTTGCTCAACAAAGCACTAACTTGAATTTAGTCAACCCATAGTGCAACGACTCCCCCCTTCACACGGACACGTTGTGTTTTCGTTTCGGCTCTCCGCGAAGCTGTTTCGGTTCGGCCCCGCGTCCTCGCTCACCTGTATCTTGTTGACGACGGCGCCCACCATGGCGCCGCCGAGGTAGGCGGCCACGCTGACGCCGTCCCGGAGCGCGACCCGCACCAGGTCCAGGAGCTGCTCCGCGCCGTCGGGGTGCTCGGTCACGTCGCAGCCGCAGCACGCGGACTCCCGGGGCAGGAAGCCGCGCCGGATCACCTCCACCACGGCCTCGTGCGCCTCCGCGTCGTCGCCGGCCACGCGCGCAACCCGCAGCTCTCCTGGGGACAGACAGAGCAATAACTTTAAAGTCCGAACTTGTTTCCTGAAGAATTGGAAACTTTTCCAGAACAATAATTTATGAAA